AATCCCCTGAGCCACAGCTGCCGGGCACAGCATCCTTTTTTAAAAATATACTTTAACTATGTTTCCATTACATGTTATTATTATTTTAAAAAATATTCTTTTACTTTAAAATGTTTTTATTGATTTGAGATAGAGAGGGAGAGAAACATGGATCAGAAAGCACCATGGATTGGCTGCCTCCTGCATGCCCCCTACTGAGGATCAAGCCCACAACCCGGGCATGTGCCCTGACCAGGAATTGAACTGACAACCTCTTGGTGCATGGGACGACGCTCAACCAACTGAGGACACCGGCGAGGGCAAGTTAAGGATTTTATGATAGGGATATTATCCAGGATTTTCCGGCAGGCCCTAAATGTATGCATTGGGGTCTTATAAGCAGGAAATGGAGGGAGACTTGACTATAGAAGGGAAGAAAGTGATGTGACTATGGAAGGAGGGGGAGAAGGGTGATTGATGTGATGTGATGTGATGTGATGTGATGTGATGTGATGTGATGTGATGTGATGTGATGTGAAGTGAAGCCACCAGCCAAGGAATGAGGAAGCTGGTAAAGTCAGGCAAACAGACTCTCCCCTAGAGCCTCCTCCTGACACCTTCATGTTATTCCCATAGAACTCATTTGGACTGCTGACCTCCAGAACTGTGAGCATAAACCTGTGCTGCTTTATGCCTCCACATTTGTGGAAATTTGTTGAAGCAAATTACTACAAGTGCTATTGTAGACAAGGATATAGTAATGCGCCAAAGCGACAAAAATCCCTGCCATGTGACGTCCTATCCTTGACCGCTATTCTGTGCCCTGGATATGCAGAATCCCTTTGCACACCAGTGCTAGGAGATGGTTGTTACACGAGGCTGTGTAACTCAGAGACCTTGTTCCTTAACCGTCCGAGGGTCTTCTGGTCATGCCCGATTAGACTAGGTTTGTGGCTCTATTTGCTCATGTCACCTCCGATGCCATTGGACTCCTGGGTGGATTGTACTACTCTGGGTGCCTGGGAAGCTAACCCTTCCTCTCTCACCACACCAGGAGTAAGGCTCTTGCCAAAGAGAGGGTGACATCCTTCATTCAAGGTTATATGAATAGCATCTCTACGTGAATTGCCCACATAATCTTAGCTAACTCAGAGGTGGGACTATGTGGCAGGCACTTCTATGGGTCAGAACAAATTTAGCCCTATAAGGTGGGTTTTAAGTATTCTCCCCATTTCACAGATGAAAAAACACAGGCACAGAGAGATTAAAGAATGGTCAAAGGTCATATGATCAGTAAGGGTTGGGTGCCAAGATTCAACCTCTTCACTGCTTTTAAGGCTTGTTAATAAAACTGAAGTAGTATTGAGCATCTACTATGTATCAGATACTCTTCATTTAAGCTTCACAACAACTCTTTGAATGAGAGAAAAGTACTATGTCTATTTTATGGATGATGAAACTGAGGACAAAGAGAATAAAACCCAGGCTGTGAATCTGGAGCCCATTCTCACCTATTGTGCTGTCACGTAACTTAAGCACCCACTTTGTCCCAGGAACTGTACCAAGCCCCTAAGATGACGTGAATAAGATTAAGTCAATAAAAGTAAATGGTTAAGAAGTTGAACTTTGTACTAGACTCATTGGGGTGATTACTTCGTAGGTTATAAATATGTCTAATCACTGTATTGTATACCTGAAGCTAACATAATACTATACATGGCAACTATAATTGAAATTTTAAAAAATTTTAAATAAGAAAATAAAAATGCCCCCCACCCCCACCCCATCCCAAAGAAATTGGATTTTGGAGTCACAGGAACCATCTGTTTGATCTTGGACAAGTTACTTAACTGTTCTGATACTCAGTTTTCTCATCCATAAAAATGGGAATGGCACTAGGATTTACCTCAGGGTTGTTGTGAGGATTACATGAGAGCCACCATGTGAAGTGCTTAAGCACAGTGTTTGGCACAGCATGAATTGTCAATACACATCAGTTGTTGTCATATTATTGCTACTATTATTATAAGAAAGCTCAGTTCCTGGCCTTAAATAGAGAAGAATGCACCAACGATGTAGACATTAATTATAATGGTAATGTAGAGAACCCTGACCTAGGGTTAAACCTCTTGTTTGCATAACCCAAATGTCAGACTGAAGGTGAAACCAGGGAACCCATCCATGTCTTTTACCTCTCCCGAAGACACCTGGAATAGAGTAGGAGATCTAGGAACATTGGTCACTTTTAATCCTCTTGGAACACAGTGGATGTACTTAAAGAAAGAAAATTCTAGCCTAGCCGGCGTGGCTCAGTGGTTGAGTGTCAATCTGTGTGAACCAGGAGGTCTTGGTTCAATTCCAGGTCGGGGCATATGCCCGGGTTGCGGGCTCGGTCCCCAGTTGGGGACAGGCAGGAGGCAGCTAATCAATGATTCTCTCTCATCATTGATGTTTCTATCTCTCCCTCTCCCTTCCTCTCTGAAATCAATAAAAAATATTTTTTTTAAAAAAGAAAATTCTAGAAAATCCCACCACGGCGTATGAGTCTGACTTGAGCACTTATATGCTGGACTCACCTGGTGCTCCACCAGGACCCTGTGATGGAGATGAGGAAGAGTTCTAAATCTCCATTGCAGAAAGAGCCATGGCAACCACCACTGACAGAGGATTCCCTCTTGGTCTCCAGGTCTGTGAACCAAGGCTTTGCTGGGACCAGTAGAGGACTGCCCCAGAGTTGTTTCTTGCTGGTTGAAGGAAACATCTTCTAGGGAATGATGGAGAAATAGGGGCTACATTTTTTCCCTTCCTGGAAGATTTATAAACCCTAAAATGTGACTTTTATGCTGGGACAACAAGATATCCATATGCAAAAGAATGAAGTAGGACCCCTACCTCGTACTGTATATGAAATTTAACTTGAAATGGGTCACAGTGCTAAATGTAAGTGCTAAAACTGTAAAATTAATAGAAGAACACATAGGAGTAAATCTTTGGGACTTTAGCTTGAGCAACCATTTCTTAGATTTGACACCAAAAGCAGAAAAAAATAAAAATTAGATAAATTGGACTTCATAAAACTTTAAAAATCGGTGTCTGTCCAAGGGTGCCATTAAGAAAGTGAAAAGACTACACACAGAATAGGTGAAAATATTGCAGATCATATGTTTATAAGGGACTTAAATCCACAATATATACAGAACTCTTACAATTAAACAATAGAAAGACAAATACCTCAGTTTATAAATGGCAAAGGGTTAAGAGGTTAACCAAAGAACTTACATACTTATATGCACAGCCCATGGACACAGACAGTAATGTGGTGAAAACCTGGGTGGGGTAGGAACTGGGTAGAGGGAGGCAAAGGAAGGGAAAATGGGGACATCTGTAATACTGTCAACAATAAAAATATACATTAAAAAATAAAAATAAAAACGACAAAGGATTCGAGTGGATATTTTTCCAAAGACAATGTACAAATGACCAGTAAACACATGTGAGATGTTCAACAGCATAGTTATTAGGAAAATGCAAATCAAAACTACAATGAGACTCCATTGTATCTAGGACGACTAAAATAAAAACAGCAGACAATAACCAAGGAGGGAGGATGTGGACATACTGAAACTCTCATACCTTGCTGGTAGAATTGTAAAATGGTGTAGCCACTTTGAAAACCAGTTTGGGAGTTTCTCAAAATGTTAAACATAGAGTTATCATATGACACAGCAATTTCACTCCTAGGAATAGATTCAAAGAGAACTAAAAATATATGTTCACATAAAAAGTTTATACATGAATGTTCACAGCGGCCTTATTCATGATAGTCCCAAAGAGGAAACAACCCAAATATCTACCAGCTGACAAATGGATAAGCAAAATATGGTCTGTTCATACAGTGGAATGTTACTTAGCCAAAAAAGGAATGAAGTACTAGTTCATGTGACAACATAGAGAAATTTGAAAACATTATGCTAAGTGAAAGCAGCCAGTCACAAAGAACCCAAACATTGTATGATTCAATGTATATGAAATGTCCAGAATAGGCAAATCTATATATAAAGTAGAAAGTAGGTTTGTGGTTGCCTAGAACTGGGGAAGAAGGGTGCAGAATAAGGGGTGACTGCTAATGGGTACAGGGTTCCTTTTGGGAGGTGATGAAAATGTTCTAAAATTAGTGGCAATTGTTGCACAATTTAAAATATACTGAAACCTTTAAATGAGTGGATTTTTATGGTATGTGAATTAGATCTCAAAAAAAGGTATTATTTTCAAAAATGACTGTCCATCCTTGAAGAAGTCACTGGAGACTTCTCCTCAGTTAATGCCAATTCCATTTCACCTGAGAATAGATAAATTGGAGGTCTGGTTGGAACTTGTCTTTTCTGTGGTCCTCCTTTTTCAAGTTTCCCATGTTGTCTCCTGATTCCAGATCCAGGCACCGCCCCTTTCTTTATCTGGATCACCCATATCACCTAATTACCTGGTACTATCCTTCACATGTCAGCCGTCCCTGGCTCCCAGCACAGCACTTTCTTATCCCCATTCCACTGAATTGTGTTGGTTTGTTTCCTTGGTACTGTGTCCTGTACTATGCCATTCGCTCCCTGAGGACAGTTGAGATACTGGTTTTGCTTACAATTACATGCCAACACGAAATGAATGAATGAATGAATGAATGAATGAAATGAATATATGACTGAAAAAGAACAAGTATATGTATTGAGTGGAAAGATACAGAGAATAAGAAAGAATAAGGAAATGGAAGAAGGGGAGATTTGGACTAAAGTCATATTAGCATGTACCCATACCCACTTTTTTTCTGTTTCTGAGAAATAAGGATTTCTCAGCCCTACAGCCACATTGATCATTTGAGTCTCTTAGATTCTAGAATGGCTACTCGGTTTCCTATGAATCAAACCAAACCCATTGGCCTTTCAAAGAACACCCTAAACCTTGTTTTTCTAACTTTGGCTCAGAAATCCTAAATTGGGAATCTAGCCAAAGAAAATAACAAGCACCTGAACACAGAGCCGGGGAGAGGGGTGAGCTCTTGAAATGCAGGCACAGAGTTACTAAACTGGCATGACTTGTAATAGCCAAAACCACCACCAACTTAAATGTCCAGCAGCAGGGTAGTGCACATCATGTCACGTCCCAAAGATGAAGTAATATATACTCATTAGAAGACTTTAGTGACCTGGGAAAATGCGTGAATCATTCATTGTGAAAAAACGACAACAGGTTATTAACGGACGAGTAGATTAGAAAGTGATTGCTAATATGCAAACTGTGCACACACAAAAATTTTAAACTGGGGAAAAAATACCCACACCAGAATGACTGAGGGGTTTCCTTTTTGTGGTGTCTTGCTCATTTCTTTTTTTAAAAAAAATATGTTTTTATTGACTTTAGAGAGAGAGGAAGGGAGGTAGAGATTAAGAGAGAGAAAAACATCAATGTGAGAAAGAAACATCAGATCAGCTGCCTCCTGCATGCCCCCTACTGGGGATGGAGCCCTACTGTCAGGAATCGAACTGGTGACCTTTTGGTAGAACTGAGCGACACCAGCCAGGGCCTTCATTTCCTTTTCTTAATGTATCCAGGTGTTCTACAATGACCATATAGGACTTTAATAACCAGAGGGAGGGAAATCCCCCAGTTCTCTCACTCCACTGCTGTTTCTTAGGAAATTCACTCTCCACCTGCTTCTTTCAGTTAACCCACATCCACCTGCAAATCCTCATCCTTAGCTTCACCCTCAGCCTACAAGGACTTAAGCTGGGTGCTCCGTCCAACCACTTCTAGGAAGCCTTTCCTGATCACCAGAAGGAGAAGAGGCTGGCTGGGGCCCCACAATGCCGCCACATATCCCTCTGCTCACCTTGTCTGAGGAAATCTCCAGCTTCTTGGCTGGTGCTTGACCTCAAGAGACCATTTCCCAGCAGCTGGCGTAGCCAGGCCTGTGTGCATCTGCACCTGGCTGATGAGTCTACACCCCTAACCACTATGGAAAACAGTCTGGCGATTCCTCAAAATATTGAGAATAGAGCTAACATACGACCCAGCAATCCCTCTCCTGGGTATATACCCAAAAACCTTGAAGTCATATAATCACAAAGATATATGCACCCCTATGTTTATTGCAGCATTGCTCACGGTGACCAAGACATGGAAACAACCAAAGTGTCCTGTGATCGAGGACTGGATGAGGAAGATGTGGTTCATATGCACAGTGGAATTCTACTCAGCCATTAGAAAGGATGAAATAGTGCCATTTGCAACCACATGGATGGACCTTAAACACTACGTCATTTGCAACAACATGGATGGACCTTGAAAACACTACGCTAAATGAAATAAGTCAGTCAGAAAAAGCTAAGAACCATAAGATTTCACTCATATGTGGGATATAAAATGGAAACTCGTGAACAGAAACAGCAGAGTGGTGGTTACGAGGGGGACGGGGGTGAGAGGTGAAGGAAGTCCTAATATATGGTGACAGAAGATTTGACTTTGGGTGGTGGGCACAGGGTACAATATACAGATCTTGCAACATAGAAACCCACACCTGAAACCTCTATGCTAATGTTAACCAATGTCACCCCAATAAATTTTAAAACATTTTTAAATGAACCCCCAGAAGGAAGTTGGTGTTGAGGCCATGGTCTCACCCTTATTGCTGGATAATGAGGAAGGTGGCCATGACTTTTCTGTCTGCATGTTCTGATTTGCCATGGGAAAGACTTCTCATTTAAAAACCACCCAAACAGTCTTCAAACAACTTAAGAAGTGATCAAAGGTGTTTGTCTTTAACCTGGACAAGCAACCTTCTTAATGGAGTCAGCCCAATGCTTGGTAACTTTGGTTGGGAAGAAATGAACACGAACCAATACTGCTGATGTAGCTCGAATGCACTTAGATTTTCCGTGAGTTGAGTTATCTGGGGATATACAGCCAGCTTGTTACTGAATTGGAATCGACTTAGAGAAACCCTTGAAGGAAAAGGAGAGTGTGCCAGCAAACGCTTGAGAGCTTACCGTGTGCCTGCGCTTCCATCTTAGAGCACTTGTGAAATGTTGTGGCTTTCCCAGAGCAATAAACAGCTGAGTGATTTTTCCTGTAGAGCTTCCTGGTCACGTACTCCACCCACCTGGAGCATAACAAGGAAGGCTCGAGGATAGGATGGACTGTCTTGTGGTGCTTTGAAGAAAGGCGCATGCGTCTTAGCTCCTGCGGCATTCTGACCTTGTTACCCTGGCCTGTGTATGAAATGCGATGGAATTAAGGTACAAGAAGAGTCAGATATCATGGGAACTGACCTTTGGTGCTTTTGAAACTGAGAAAAAAGGATTTGTTGTGCCAAGCTTCCTCATCAGTCTGGTATTTCACCTCTCATCTTAAACAAGGTAAACAAACCACCACGGACATATTTTTCTTCCCCGCAGAACTGCACCCTTTTTCATGATTAGGTCTGGGTGCTGTTTGGCAATGGGAATTGAGTAGAATGGAGGTGGGGAAGCATTTTTTCATTCCGCCCTCTTCTCAAATATTTAAAGTAGAATAACGAGTAGGTGAGTGACTATCATTGTCACAACTCTTTTCCACTCCTGCCACCTGAATATGGACATCAATCACCCTTTTCTTCGGCCACCACAGATGGCATTTCCTGATGTGCCCTGCAAGACTGGAGGTGCTGAGAAACTCTGGGGGAGAGTCTGAGGAAGATGGGATGGTCTTCATTCTGTCATCTTTAGGGTCCGGGTTTTTTGTTGTTGTTGTTGTTTTTTATGAGATCTGTAAGCTTTGCATGAAATGAAAATTCTGGGAGGACAGAAGAGGTTTTGAGGGACCAATAGGGGAAGAGCTAGGCTAGAGATCACGGATGGCAGGAACCTACATGGGAATTTTGTGTGTTGTCATTGGGGTCCATGTGAACTGTCTTCCTCATCTTCCCAGGAGATCCTCAGTAAAATAAATATCCATTTCTTGTTGGTACATTATCGAGTTGAATCTGTTTGTTGAGGAAATTCATTCATTCAACAGATATTTATTGAGAACCTGAACCTGCCTGCAGTGTTCTAGATGCTGAGGATAAAGTAGTGAATAAAACATACCCAACAAGGGAACAAATTGGATGAATCTTCAAGGAATTCTGCTGTGTGAGAACAGCCAATCCCTAAAGGTCAATATTGTGTGATTCCATTTACATAACATTTTCAAATGATAAAATTTTAGAAATGGTGGTTGCCAGGGGTGAGGTATGGGAGAGAGGTAGGTGTGGTGATAGACAAGCAACCCGAGACATCCTTGTGTCAATGTCCTATTATTCAGTATCTTGACTGTAGTGCTGGATACAGGAATTTATACATGTGATAAAATTGTATAGAACTATACAC